GGAGAGGGGAGAGAGGTGTGAAACAAAAAAAAGTTAAAAAGAATTAGACGAGAAATATGAGAGAAGTGAGAAAGTATTTTATATGTTGAAAGGGTGAAAATGTTTTTTTACAAATTATTTGTGACATTTTTGTACACAGTTCTGATTCTTTGACATTGTTGCAGTAGAAACTATATTGATTCTATGACATTGTTGCAGTAAAAACTACTTTTCTATAATTTTTCTGCACATAACTCAAAATGATATACGCCTGCAAGGGAAAAATTATAAATGTTTTTATATATATATATGGTTTTGAACCCACACAACAAGAAGTAGTTGCAAATAGCTTTAGCACCTAAAATTAAATCTGCGAAAATGGACCTCATTCAGTTTCTTCTACTCTCTGCTCTATCTTTTTTTTCTCTTTCCTTGTTAATAAAGTCTCTGCTTCGTCCCAAGAACAAGAGACGTATTGCTCCCATGCTCCCCGGGGCATGGCCATTGATAGGCCATATAAGGGCATGGCCATTGATAGGCAATTTAAGGCCTTTTGACAACGGAGAGCCGGACCATGTTACGTTCGGGACTATGGCCGACATTTACGGACCGACTTTCATGACCAAGTTTGGCTCATTTAACGCCCTGGTCATAAACAGCCACGAGGTAGCCAAAGAGATCTTTACTCTCCACGACAAGGTCTTAACCCGGCCAATCCCCACCGCGTCTAAGATTATGGGCTACAACAACTCGTTCATGTCGTTTAGCCCTGACCGTTCTTACTGGAGAGAGATGCATAAGATAGCAGTCTCGGAGTTTTTTTCGACCTTGGTCGTTGATAAGCTCAAGTATACTAGAGCCCGAGAGGTTGACGTGTCGTTCCGAGAGTTATACAGGAAGTGGGAGCAAAAGGGCGGGCCTAACAAAGGAGTCTTGGTGGATATGAGTCAGGAGGTTCATGATCTAACCCAGAACATCTCGCTGATGATGATCGCGGGGAAGAGATACTTCGGAGGAAGACCTAACTGCGAAATCAAAGAGGCGAGGAGATGTAGCAAGCTGATACGAGACTTTATCGATTACTTTGGGGTCTACTTGTTTACGGATTTTATACCACATCTGGGTTGGTTGGACTGGAGAATCAAGTGGGGCATGAAGAGAACGGGTAATGAGTTAGATAAAATTGTTGAAGGTTGGGTTGAAGAACAGAAGAAGAAGAGAAATGATTCTGGTGTAGGCATTGAAAAAACCTTCTTGGAAATACTTATCGAGATCTTTGAACAACGCAAGAATCCGGGTCTTGTTGATGCTCATACAACAACCAAGGCCCTTTGCCTCGTAAGACCTCATAGAAATTTAACCTATATCAAGTACAATAAAAGTTATATATATTACATATATGAACTAATTAATAATCTGTTCTAAGCGTCAATCTTTTTGTGCAAACTAGAACTTGGTATTGTCAGGGTCAGAGACGGACATTGCGGTTTTAATTTGGGGTGTCTCGCTTCTCGTGAACAACCCACACGTATTGAGGAAAGCTCAGGAGGAGCTCAACCATACAATTGGCAAGGACAGAGTTGTGGAAGAATCGGACCTCAAAGATTTGGTTTACCTCCAAGCAATTGTCAAGGAAGTACTCCGTTTGTACCCTCCGGTCCCTCTCACTGCTTATAGGAATGTGATGGAAGATTTCGAAATCGCCAATGGAAACTTTCATGTTCCTGCAGGTAATTATCCCCTAATTGAAACTCAAACAAGTTAAATCAAATGGAATAAACATTCATCAAACGATTTAGATACTTTAAGCATGAAACATATATGATAAGGAACGAAAAATTTAAAAGATACCTCATAAAAGTTTTTAGAATTAGGAGATATTCATCTAGATTTCCTCTTAGTTTATCACAACACATATAGCATGTTATAGGCTCCTTCTGCAATAATATGCATCATCTTATTTCATGTCGATAAATTAGGGACACAATTGTTGGTAAATTCGTGGAAGATTCATAGAGATCCGAATCTTTGGTCCAACCCACAAAACTTCGAGCCGGAGAGGTTCTTGACGTCAAATAGAGAAGCGGATGTTGGTGGGCGGAGTTACAAATTTTTTCCATTCGGATTGGGACGACAGATATGTCCTGCGATCCCCCTTGGTATGAGGACGGTGCAATATGTCCTAGCCAGGTTCTTTCACAGCTTCGACGTGGCAAGACCATCGAACCTAGATGTGGACATGACCGAAAACAGTGGGATGGTCAATCTTAAAGCTACTCCTCTTGAAGTCATCATCACTCCTAGGCTTCATAAATCTCTCTACCATGTGGATCGCAGTGTTTGATTACACCTAAATAACCTCATCATTGATTCAAATGTTTTTTTTTTTTTTTGGATTCAAATGTTGTTTGTGAAAGAAAACTACAAGTACGTCTTGAGATATAATATGTCTCCAAGATTGAACCCATTTAAATAAAAAGGATGATATGGGATATAAATGTATGGACCATACCATTTTTTATGTTAATCTACTTTATTTCTGTTCAGTAGCTTCATGCGTTGTGCTTTCTAAGTTATTTGAGAAATACCTTGAATATATATAATTGGATATAATGTTGTAGCCGTACTTTAAATATAAGATTTTTCCAATGTTCAAAAGATCGCCCGGTCAGCAGCTAGGCACCCAACTAAGCGTTCATGGATGCGTAGACAATTAATTCGATGTATCAGCCAAATCGATATTAATCGGCTGAACCAGCAGACAAATCAGCCCCTTTAGTGGCTGGTTATTGCTTCAATTTTCTCTCTAGTTGGTTCTCGAAATAGGCTTTGATTATACAAGTATATTATTGTAAAAGCATAAACCTTTGCACAAAATACTTAACATATATGTAGACGAAAGGCAGATAGTTTCCAATAAAAATACAGTCTTTACAACTAATACACGACACAGCTGTTTCAACAGATAGATTACACAAACACTTCTATAGAACATATCCTACAATCCTATTCTACCCAAAGTTATGTGAAATCACACACACCGTGATTCACTCCTAAACATATTCCTAATCTACCCAATGTAATATAACAACAGTTACGAAACCTCTTCTTTTCACTCAACACAGCAGATCAAGGCTCTCAGTGTCTCTAAGTTCTTCAAAGAGTTTTTTCGGAAAAACTAGTTAACTTATGCACTATTTTGCTCCTTTTATAGAAGAAGCAACTAGCAGCATCTATTAACCTAAAAAGAGCTCTCCCTTAAATCCAAAGGGCAATAAACTGTTCCTGTTGATGTCGGACAGCCAGTCCCATCAACACTTGAGAGAATAACCTAACCCCACTTGCATCTTGACTTTATGCAACTGTGTTAGAATGCCTTGTTTACCAAACCAAGCTTCCATCGTAAGCTTCCCACTTGCGCGGTTCTTGGCTCATGGTGCCACCTGGCATTCCTGGTCATTAAATGACTTATTCTTCTCAGCTTCTGATGATTCCTTCCAGCTTCTGAGTCAAACATGAACTCTTCACTGCTCCTGTTTCTTCAACAATCTTCTGCACTTATA